CCACAACCTTTGAACCCTAAAGCCCTCAAACCTTTAAGGCCTGCCACCACCAGCACAAAGCACCTCCACGTACTACTACTACTACTACTACTACTACTACTACTACTACTACTACTACTACTACTGCTACTGCTAATGCTACTGCTACTGCTACTGCTACTACTGCTGCTACTACTACTACTACTACTACTACTGCTGCCACTCTAAGACTTCGGCTACTGCCACTACGACTACTACTTCTTCTTCTGCTGCGACGACTACTGCCGCTACTACTACTAGTACTACTACGACGACGACACTACGTGCATACCTTGAAACTTCCCCCTTGGTCCTTCATGTGCGGCGTGGAATACGAAAAGCAGGTTTCGTTGTCCGCGTTCCTGCTCGTCCGCAGCGATCCACAACATACCCTTACTAGACCCTGAACCAGCAGGACCTGTTTATTCCATAAGCCGTAAATCACGGAAAGTGATTACTTCAAAGTTCGGGCCTGTCCTTCGTGTGCACGCGGCGCACTAGCATCATATGCTTCAGAGTTACAACCTTGAGCTGGAATAAGTACAAACGCGCGGAATAGGGCTTAGGGGGATTGGCGTATTGGAACACTCTTCGCACCCACATGGATGCCCTTGTAACAGTCAGGTTTTGGGTGTAAGGCTTATGGGTTTGGGGACCACCCTGGGGGACCTTCGGAAGCTATCTAAAGCAACATAAACTCCTCTAAAGCCAGAGAACCGGTTCCCAAGAAACCCTGAGTTTGTCAGGACCTGAAACGTAAACCCACATGACATGTCACGGTTCAGGGTTTAAGGTTTTGGGTTGCCAGAGTTCGCAATCTGAAACCACAAACCAGGAAATCGTAACACCTCCGATAAAGCCTAGAGTTGACGGAGCAACGCTTTGTAGAAGCGTTGAAACGTGGAAGGTCTCGCTATTTCGGAAGAATGAAGACCTACCAACACCATGCTAGACCTAAATACCAAATGCCCTGCACCCCAAAACCATGAACTCTACTGCATCTTAGACGACTAAACCCCCAGAGCCCTACGCCATCCCACTCTACCTAAATCCCTGAGTCATGAAACCCTCCAAAACTCTAGACCCTAAAGCGGACACACAAACCCGAGACCTTTTGGATCCAAAGACCAGCTCGAAAAGACAAAACAAGAACCAACTGCTTCGACCCCGCCTGATACTGGGGTCTGCACCGAACTTCAACACGACCTGCTGTCTTCCCGGGGAGTTTGGTACAGGGTTTAGGGTTTAGGGTTTTGGGTTTAGGGTTTAGGGGTTTAGGTTTTAAGGTTAAGGGTCTTGTTCCTGTGTTTTACAGGGGGCTTGGTTAGCCTAAGGGGCTTTCATCGGAACTGTAGGAGTTCGGCTTCATCTTCGTATGCATTGTTTGGGGTCGTTGGCTTAGATATTTCGGGCTTTAGGCTTTGCGGCGGCCCTAAAGCCAAAACCTAAACCTCGACACCCTGTTCCAAACCTTCAATTCAAAAATGAACCCCACCTTTAACGAAACAACGACAAAGAACTATTCACCATAAACAAAACCAGTGAAACTCTACAGAATCCCGGCAAAAACCCAGAGCCTTGTAAACCGGCATTGTTCAGCTGATAGGTGCATTGCTAAGTCGACTAGTAGTGTTTGGGGTATACTAAGTATAGGTATAGTCAAGAACTCTAAGTGACAGTATTACCTGTCCCTCAAGCTTCCAGCCATATTCCCCTAAACCCTATAAACCCTAATTAAACCCTAAACCGGGACCCTGTGAACTTCCATGTTTCAAGCGCCTCGACCATCCAACGGTCGTCCAGGCGGGCTGCCAGGATCAGGGGCGTGTTGCCCTCCTAGCCAAGTTTCGGGGCCTTCATGAGTTGGATTTAGAGTCCAGGGCCCTAAACCCTAAACCCTAAACACTAAACCCGGGTTTCCTCATTACCTTAAAAAATCTAAAAGACCTCCTAAACGTGGCCCGGTACCTCGGATCCTAGTTAGGACCCTCGGTTCTCAATGTTCTTTCAGTTTGAGGGCCCATGAGCCTTTAGGGTTAAGGGGTTAGGGTTTAGGGTTTAGGGTTTCGGTTTAGGGTTTAGGGTTTTGGGTTTAGGGTTAGGGTTTAGGGCTCAGGGTTTAGAGGTTGGAATTAGAATGAGGTTCCAAGAGTGCCTTTAAATTACAGCGTTTCGAGTCCAGGGACTTCCAAGGTTTTGGAGCAGGGATTAAGGTTTACTGGCTACTCACTGCGCTTCGGTAGTGTTTGGCATTCAGGCTATGTTGTGATTTGGGCGCGATGCGTTTCTTAAACCCCCAAACACGGGGCTTTCAGCCTAGAAAACAGGCTGTCAATGGGATTTCAAGTTAACCGTCCAAGAAAAAAAGCCATGACTCCAATAACAACGCCTAAGCAGGAGCGGCTTATCCGGCTTATTCTAACGGAGGACATGTGAGAGGACACAAAAAACAACTGAACCCTCAACCCTAGCCTTAAACCTAAGCCGAAGTCAAAAAACCTAAATCCAAATCCCCCATAAACCCCTAAGTTCAAGCAACAAAAATCACAAAACCCTCATTCCTGAGCCCTACCTGGACCCAAAATAATCTATGTTATCGCAAACCCTGCTCCTTGTCCACGGCGTTGACGCTCGCGCGGAGCTCCAAAAGCCTTGATCTACGGTGGAGTTTCAGTTCCCGGGATGCAACTGACAGAGGGCTCCAAAGGTGGCATGAACGTAGTTGGGTTAGGGTTTTTGGGTTTAGGGTTTCGGGTAGTTGGGGTGATCCCAGACCCTAAACCCTAAACCCTAAACCCTAAACCCTAAACTTAGGCCCTAAACCCTAAAACGAGCCCTTTTTATACGGGGACCTTAATCCTACCTACCTTCATCCCACCTTTTGAAGCTCTGGAGCTTCGAAGATTCGAGATCTCTCCTTGTGCAAGGGTTCTATAGGGTTTTGTAGGGCGTATAAGGCCTGTTGCAAGGGTTCTATAGGGCTTGGCAGGGCTTATAAGGCCTCAGAAGGGTGTTATGATAGGCTTCTGGAGTGTTGGAAAGTGCGTGATTGGCTGTGGAGCTTTCGGGTGGTGTTTCTAGAGGCCTTCATCTTTGGAGTAGGGCTTTGAAGTATATCATTCACTTATATAGTGGCTCGGCAAGATTTTTACTACTGGCTGGGTAGACTCCTTCAGGTTCTAAACCCTGACAGCCCTAGAGGCCCTAAACCCCATCCCCTCCCAGAAACAATTGCAATTGTAAACCCGGCTAGGAAAACGTTAAAGGATCCTGATACAACCCTTAATGGAGCCCTTGAGAGGCACCCTGCACCCATCTATACCCTAAACCCTAAACCCTAAACCCTACACCCATCTATACCCTAAGCCCTAAACCCTAAACCCTACACCCATCTATACCCTAAACCCTAAACCCTGAACCCTAAACCCTACACCCATCTTTACCCTAAACCCTATATCCTAGCTAAGTGGCAGCGTCATCGTGTCCAGGCGCTTGGACACCGCCCCGGCATGCACCGGCAACCGGCCCTTGACGTCAGCTGTGCTGAACCTTGGACCGTCCCGTTTCCTAAAACCCTATATAGACCCTAAACCCGAAACCCCAAAAATGAAAAAAACAAAAAAGCAAGAAGTCAGGGCGCACACAGGGCAACCCTAGCCGGCGTGCCTGTGACTTCAAGTCATGGGGCTTTAGAATAGGCCTAGGGTAAAGCCAGTACCTTGTGATGTAAGGGACTTAACAAGTAACAAGTAGAATAGGATTCTTTTTAAGAGTTCCTAGATACCTTCAGTATAATTAATATTACGAACCCTAAGGAATAACATTGTAAGCCTAAAAGGCTACTAAACCTCATCCAGTCAACCCGCAGCTCAAAACCCTAAACCCCAAAACTGTACAGCCCTGACTGCAGCCGCAGTCACTGACCGTGTCCCCCAGCTGCATCGGAGAGAATTTCGGCCTCCACCGGCTGACTCTAGTGTAGCCCTAAACTAAAGGAACACTAAACCCCAAACCTTCCAAAAGAAACCATACACCTTTATAGATCCCTTGTAGAACCCTTGGTCCATGGGTTCGTGGAACGCACTGAAATTCTAAAGTTGGAACATTATAGGTCTCATGCCCTTAACTTAAAGTAGAGTATGAAGGATCCCAGCACAAATCATCCTAAACCCCATGTTCCAACTTTCTGGAGGTTCACTATAACTCAAGGGTTCGTGGAACGCTTTGAAAGGGAACCTTATTCTAGATCCCTATAGTACCCTTAAAGGACCCTGAAAGCCCTAAACCCTAAACCCTAAGCCCCTAAATCCCTAAACCCATAACCNNNNAACCCTGAACCCGAAACCCTCCCTTTAAAGGGCCCAGGCATGCCTCGGTCTCGATCCGCTCCTCGCTCTCCTCCAAGGCCTCGCAGCTTCGAGCTGTTGAGGCGTTTAGGGTTTAGGGTT